ATATATATATATATATATATATATATATATATATATATATATATATATATATATATATATATATATATATATATATATATATATATATATAATGTCGTATTTAAATACTGGTAAATCTATTGAATACATTCAACATTAAAACCGCAGGGTCACTGTTTTGGAGCTCCCAGAGGGGCGCGCCAGAATTGGATTCAGCTGCTTGCAAATGAATTAAATGAAATTAGATTTCATTTAATAATTTATTTCTGTCTCTCGCGCAGGCCCTTGGGGAGCCCAGGTGATGATTACCTTCACAAGAGCTCTGATTAGCATTCAGGAATAAACCCCGGCAAAATGAAAGGAAACAGAGGAGCGCAGCCGGACCGGTGGAGAATCAGTAATCGCAGGCTATTGGATGGCCTTGGGAATCGGTCTGAACTCTGCGCTCCTCTATTGGTGAAGTCTCACGGGGAAATGCTCTTTCATTTGAATCTTGCTGTGTGGAGGATTATTTTTCGGCTTTTACAGATTATTTGCATTTTGAAGGCACAATGTGTCTGAGGTCATCCATAAAACGCCCCAGAAGTGATGTTTGTTTGGAAAATTGTGTAAGACAAGGAATGTCACATGACTTCTAAGAGGGTGTCATCATTTATTGAGGAAAAAAGAAAGGCAAGATAACCTACAGTGTAAGAAATGTCCGTTATGCCGAGTTCAGACTGCATGATTTTAGCCTCGATTTTGACTCGCAGACAGGTTTTGAGAAATCGCCGACAAATGCCTGAAATCTGAAGCGCACTATCTCGCTACCTCCGGCAAATCAACTCCGTATCCCCCGGAAATTACTTTTCCCAACTTGGGATATGTCTGCCGTAGCGGTTTCAAGAGTTCACACTTAGCTGATGATTTACAAAGCTTATTTGGCATGCTGTCCCGGGAGAGAGCCCCGAGCTCAAGGGCTCCTCGAGCCCGGGGCTTCCTCCCGTTGGCAGAGCAAGAAGGGAGCCCGAACTCGGTGGATCTCAGAACTCCCCTGCTGCAGTAGCTAAGGGAACGTAAGGAATTAGACAAGCTTGATTGTTATGTATGTTGAATGTCTTTGGATGGTGGGAGGAAACCGGAGAACCCGGGGAAAACCCACGCGGACACGGGAAGGACATACAAACTCCCCACAGAAACACCCACCGGTCCTATGGAACTAGGACCGGCAGTATTCTTGCTGTGTGGTTCTCAGTGCTAACCACTGGACCGCCGTGCCGCCCAATCACAGGTAAAGGAGGAGAATAGGGGAGGAGGGGGGTTTCTTCCAAACGAAGATAAAGTGAACTGAAAACTGAGGCTATTTATGGTGCCTTAGGGCTCATATGATTGGAAGATTAGTGATTAGCAAATACGAGACTGGCCGTGATAAATCATAAGCACGTGATCCTCTCGAAATTAGTTTATGAATAAACTTCACTTATGAAAATGTAGTTTTATGACTGCATACCCATATGTAATTACTAAATTTTAAAAAAATACAATTTCGAAACAATTAAATGTTCTTTTTAATCATCCATCCAGGCTTTTGGTTCACATTCTTGCATGTTTAAGTCGATATTATTGTTTATATGTGCCGCAATTACTGCAATGTGCTTTCCTGTTGTTGTTGTTGTTGTTATTAGCAGAAAGCATCCTGGCGATGCAGCTGTAATTGAACACCGTAATTATTCACACAGATCTGCGGTACGAACGTTCCTCCCACACTCTCTCCCGGTTATTTCCGGAGTGTGTTTCCCAGCGGTGTCTTCAGCCTCCTGAAGGAGAACAGATCCGTCTCTCCTCCACTCGCAGGAGTTTATTACCTCCATCTAAGCCATGATATGAGAATTAGTAAGACTGCTTTACGGGCTGGTTTATCAGCTGTGTGTGTGTGAGTGAGTGTGTGCTATATAATATGTATCAGTGCCTCTTCGTTTCTCTAGCGAGGAGGAGGAAATGACCTACATAAGCACCACCTCGCTGTGTTTTGCATTCAGGAGAGGATGAACAGCACGACTGCTCTCCAGAAATGATGCGCTGTAATGTGGTTTGCTGTCAGCGTGGCGCTGTGAGAATCAAAAGACTGAAGCTGATGGAAAGCCTCCGCTCGGGGTGTTTTTGTTATGGCTCCTGCTAATGCTAAGAGATACCCGGCTCATGTTGTTCTTTCATTTATGACTAAACAAACACAGGTTGGCTCCTGTGCGCCTCTGATGAGCGTGTGCGAAGTTTCAGCTCGAAATACCAAACGTGTAATGTTTTATAACTCTTTGAAAATGCGCCTTTTAGGCTTTGTTCCTAATTTTGGTGACTGTCGCTTTAAATGCAAATGAGATTGAGCTCTTTTCAGAAGAGGGCGGAGCTACAAATGCCTGTGTGTCAGCATAGTGGCAGATTCAAAAACAAGACTAACGTCCTATGCTAATGAGGGAGAGATGGTCACTAGTGGGCGGGGCTTCCCCCCTCTGATGACACGCACAAATTCAACAGTTCTGGATCAGTCAGTTAAGAGAGGCAGTTGTCTGTTGTGTATGACCATTTCTCCTCTGGCCAACCTATGTGGAGACCTGGCGGCCAAAAAAACCAATGAGCCATATTGGCAGCTACACTAGGATCTCCTATGAAACAAAGCACAATCCGCTTATATTTAAATCAAATATTGAGCTTTGGATCATGACCGAAAGGACAAGATCTCGGATACAAGTGGCTGAAATGAGTTTCCTTCGAAGGGTGGCAGGGCACACTCTTATGGATAGGGTGAGGAGCTCTGACACCTGGGAGGAGCTCAGAGTAGAGTCGTTGCTCCTCCACATTGAGAGAAGTCAGCTGAGGTGGCTCGGGTATCTGTTTTGGATGCCTCCTGGGCGCCTACCTATGTCCCACCGGTAGGAGGCCTCGGGGAAGACCTAGGACACGCTGGAGGGACTATGTATTTCGGCTGGCCTGGGAACGCCTCGGGATCCCCCCGGAGGAGCTGGAGGAAGTGTCTGGGGAGAGGGAAGTCTGGGGTTCTCTCCTAAGACTGCTGCCCCCACGACCCGGCCCTGGATAAGCGGCAGAAGATGAATGACATATTGAGAGATATGATCACAAACTGTTAATTGTGGGCACTTGCAATCCATGTGCTGCACCCGCAGCCATTTTTTTTCAGTCATTTACAACCCTCATGTCCCTGTCAGAGCTACAATTCACCAATATTTACATTTGTCTTGTGGATATTCCTCAGTGATTAAGTCTTGTAGTCTGAGTGAATTCGGAGCCAATAACGGTACAGGTTTTCAAAAAAAAAGTGCGCATTTTCAGGCCCCAAAAGCAACTGACATGACGTAGAAACACCTTAGTTTGTTGAACCTTTAAAAAAATCAATATTTATTCAAGTATATAAAGGATCAGTAACTTTTTAGTTCTGGTCATAGTTAACGGTATTACCTAATGAAAACTACTAACTTACGCTACTGATTAGCTGTTTATTAATAGCTAGTAAGGAAGAAGTTGGGTTTAGCTTTAGCTGGGTAGCCCTGCTTAAAAAACAGCATAGAGTGTACTATATACAATTGCCTTGAACTGGGCCGAAGCACGCTTGTCCCCCCTCCCGTCTCCCACGATGGCCCGTGCTCACAATAAATTCACGCCTGAGCACGCTTACGTCAACGATGGTGCGCTGTTCAGCAAGTGCTTTCCCTTAGCACAGTGGACATTTCTTTAGTTTATTGTTTAAGTCGTTTGATATGCAGTGACACGCAGTCAAATATTCTGCCGAACAGATCCGCCACTTTTGGCGCTCATAAACAACCATAAAGTCCTCGTGCTGCAGGAATTAGGAGGTTTGCTGAAGGTGTAGCTGTCGTGCAGTGAGGGGTTTGTATCTTTAATAAACTACGACACACTTGAACAGTTAGAATGATTAATAAATCCACATGAAACAGTCCTGTTAAAGTCACGTCGCGTCTTCAGTTTCGGGCCGGACAACTGAACCATGCCTGAGCCCGATTCAGAGCTCTCACACTTTTCAAACGATGCGGGTCTAGGCACAGTTCGGATAGCATAGTGTGAGTACACCTTTAAACTAGCCCAAGCTGGTTGGCTGGTTTTAGCTGGTTGACCAGCCGGATTTTAGAGTGGTTTTGGTCATTTACAAGCTGGTTTCAGACATTTCCAGCCTAGATTTAGCTGGTCAGGCTAGAAAATGACCAGCTAAAACCATCCAAAGACAGGTTGACCTTTGGCTGGGCTCCCAGCCAGGCTAGGCTGGTCAAGCTTAGATGGTCCTCTCCCAGCCTGACCAGCTAATACCAGGCTGAAAATGTCTGAAACCAGCTTGAAAATGGCCAAACCCCCTCTAAAACCAGGTTGGTCGGCCAGCTAAAACCAGCTAATCAGCTTAGGCTGGTTTAAGGGATGCAGAATAAGATCATACTTAATAACTACATATGAACAGTTCACATCTTAATAATGGGCAGGGAACAATAGCATGAACTGTGACATAGTTATTCTTAAAAGTAAGCCAACAAAGAACCTTTACATGTGTCTATACTTGGATGATATGAGAATTACTTTTAAGCAGTGGGGTTTTAGTTTACTCTCACGCAAAATTCCTACCGGAATGAATGGATATGAACTATTGAAAATCGGCAGAGCTATTGTGCTGTAAATGTACACTCAGAATTTGGTGAAATAAGCCAACATCATTTAGATGAGCTGTCTGGTTAGTCTGGTTAACGCTTAATAAAGAGGTCATGTCCCTGCAAGGCATCTGAAGACCGGCAGTTCTCAAAGATATCTCATAAACACGGCAAGGGCATTTTCCTAATCCCGTGTGCCCTAAACAACAGCCTGCTTTGCATAAATCCAGTGTCTCTTTATCCCTGTGAATGTATCTGCATATTGCCGCACATGTGGCGTGTTTAGCACTTGGCGTGGATTAATAAGCCTTGAGTTTCATGACGGGTTTCTATCGGGTAAATGAGCTTAGAGCTAAGCTAACAGAATAGGATTCGTATGAATTTTAATGGGAGATCTGTTAGCATGCGAAGCGAACGCAGGCTAATGTATGCTGCACTCAAGCAAACCAAAAAACCGCCGGAGTCATTGTGTTAATTCCACATAATAAACAGGAAACCATGTAATATTCATGCCAGTGTTTGTGGGTGAAAGCCGGTTTCGTTTTTTCTCTCTCTCTCAACCACGCACTTTGAAGTGGAGGGCTTAATGGAATAATTTCTCAGATCTTTGACGTGTACGGTGCTGTCTCGCTTTATGTTTTCCCATCAGCAGAAAGCGCAGCGCCTCTCTCAATGACTTTGGGACTTTAGGGAAGAATCTCAGTCAAATAACACACTCACACCGGTCACAAACACGCTCAATCGCACAGCTTTCAAAGACATCCATTGATGATTCCACACCTACAGTGCTCAAGTGCATTTCTTAGTGATATTTAGGGTATAATAGTACATCAACACAATGTCCTTCTGGCTCAGGTGACTTTGCAAACACTTAATACACAAATACACATCATTGAATATTTACTATACACATAGACTACATACACTATATAACTGCAGGTTAACTATGTTTATACAACGGTTTTGTCTCGAATCTCGAATATTCTCCATTAACAGCACTCGACAGTAGTGATGGGAAGTTCGGATCATTTTACTGACTCGGATCTTTGAGTCTCGTTCATCAAGATGAACGAATCTTTTTTCGAGTCTTTTCATTCATTTGATTCAATTTGCCAAAATATTATTAAAATGTTACGAATTGCTTCCAAACACATCTACAACTAGCCCAAAAGGTTGACTGCACGACAAATATGTCATAACTAGAATACTATAAGAAGGAGAAAATAATAATTGAATGTTTACCTGCTCTTTTG